ACTTAAAAAAATCTCTTTCAAAAACCTTTCGTTGTCTCAGAATTTTGTGCGTTTGACCATAGATTAAAATTCAAAGATCTTCTGTGGCAATGAAGTAGAAGGGGAGAAGTTTAGCCTTTTTCTATTTTGTATCTAAAATGAGTAGACAACCATTGATTAAAAAATCTTGCGACTATTTTATTTCATTATCTCTAGACCAGAGATGCGCATTTACAATTTTTTCCTAAAGCAACCGTCGGCATTTCTCAGCATGTTTAGAAACTTTGCATATGAGTCCTTGCTCTTGCCATCAGAATCAGTCATCTTGTCTTTGAGATATAATCAAGGGGGAAACATCGTACTTTGAGGAGTCAAAGTACAAAAGTACATCAAAGTATCCCGAAGTACTTCAAATGGTATGGGTGGATGTGAGTCCGGCTCTAGGTCTGGGTGTGGATGATACTATGGGGGAAAGAAAAGAACTCACACCCACACCCACACCCCAAGTTCATTTGAGCATCTGCCCAACGTGAGCGTTAAATATCCATTACGTCAATAACCCCCATTATGTACATAATGCCAAATATATTGAGGGTCCAATCCTAGCCAATTTATTCCAAGCTCTGACTTCTCTGGAATCGATGGAAACCCTGAGACCCTTAAGATCCCTGACGTCCCTGGAATCCGTGGCGTACCTGGAATCCCTCGGTTCCCTGGAATCGCGCACTTCCCTTGGCATGTTTTAGTTTATTGCCACTGATTCTTGCTTATTAATTTTTGAGTTTCGAATTTCCAATGAGTTGCCGACTCCAGGGAACTTGGGCAGGTCTCTTATAACAAATAACTATCGAAAAAAGTTATTGTTATTTATAACAATAAGAAAAAAACTTATTGTTACAAATGACAATAACAGAAACAGCTATTGTTATTCTTTTGTTATTAATAGCAACAAGATAATAGTAACTTCTTACCCCTATTTGAAAATGTCTACTGTATATCGTTTAGGGCTGTATTTGACAAAATGGAAAAGATGAATGGGAAAGTTTTTGTAACTTATCATTCATGATTCGTCATAGCTTCCCTTTCCGAGGGAAAATATTGGAAAATGGAAAAAATAAAAAAGATGCTCCTTCTGAGTAAAAAGGAAGTAACAACTTTCCTTTCGGAGAGAAAATATAGGAAAGTAGGAAAAATTAAAAAGATTCTTTCCTAGAAAAAAGAAAGCAAAACTGTCCTTTCATTACTTTTCTGAAAGTAAAAGGAAAGTGCTACTTCTAGTAAATAGTGCACTTAGTCTTAGCATTCGCCATTTCAAACTTATATTGCGAGTAAATATTTATTCTTAATACGTTCTCATTCTTTAGTCTATCAAATTTCATCAAACATTTTTTTAATTCAAAAATAGTTATCTCTCTAAATATCGTGTCTTCTGATGATGTATTCTCTTCAGATACCTAGTGTACTATATGAATACACACTGACTAGCATTCTCATTTGCATATATAAAGTTTCCTTGTTATCTTATCAAGAAATTCTGCTTTTCTCATTCAAATATCATCAAAATAGTAACATAAAAACGTTCATGGGCCATGGTAAGGAGATCATGGTCAAAAATAGTAGGCTTGTTTGGACCTCTACAACGTTCATACAACATATATTCTACTCAAAATGGGAACGTAGCCAATCGTCGAATGACTATTGGTCGAACGTCAGCTCGTCGAATAATATTTCGTCGAACGACATTTCGTCGAATGACGTTGTTAGCTCGCTTCGTCGAGCTTTACGTTTATTTTATATATATCTTTTTCCAACTTTTCACATACATATATATAACAATCCAAAAGAGAAAAGAAACAAGAGAGAGAGAAAGAAAGAGAGAGAGAGAGAGAGAATAGAAACACAAGGGAAAGTATGTTCGGTGTGATATACCTGTAACAGCCTTCCCCTCTCCCGAAAAGTGTGTCCTCACACGTATTAAAGTTTTTTGTATTGTTCATCATCATTATTATCGTCGATTGTTGTGATGAAATTTGTTGTTTTTGGAGACGATGTTAGTTGAAGAAGTGATTGAGCTTGTTCTGATGTATATTGTGCACTACGTGTACGTTGGAATGAACGTGTGTCATGATCTTCATTTGATACATTTTGATCTGAAGATCATTGTCGTGATGTTTGCATTTATTGAACGGTACGGTTTAACACTTTCCATAAAAATAGATATTTATTTGATTATTCAATTGTAAATAATATTGATCATTTGGATTTTTTATTTTCAATAGCTGCTAAAGCTAATGTTGAAATTGTTTCATGTGTAATTGAAAATTCTTTAGCTTGTCCAAGATTCCATCTTCTAATATCAATATTTTTACCTAATAGAAAATTACTGAAATGTATAAATGTATTTAATTCTAATAAATATTCTTGTGATTGTGTAACTTGTTCAGCAACTGATTCATCTATTAAGTTGATTAATTGTTGAATAAATTTTCCATTATAAATATTTGATATATCATTAATTAATCGATTTTTCCTTTAAATAATAGTAAGTAGCTTGTAAACTTGTTCACATATTTGTTCAAATATAAATTTAATATCTTCCATAGGATAATCAAGTAAATATAATTTTAATCCATTATCCATTGTTGTAAATTACCATCATTCACTATGAATAACCATAATCCAGTATGATGAACGATAGACAACAATAATTAATTTCATCACTGTTCGATGAAAGTCTTTTTCATCGATAATTAATCATTTAAATTCGTAATGGAGTGTCGTAAATGACCATTAAAGGTTTCGTTAACATGTATCTGCTAAAACGAAAAAAAGATTTCCCGATTAACCTCAAATTTTACTTGTTCATCACATTGACATTGATGATTGTTGGAGTGGATAAACCAAGAATTGCCCAATATAATAATAATCAAATAGTTATGTGACCATAGTTGCATAGTGGAATGAAATGATGATTGGAGGGGATTAAGTTGTTTATTATCTTCTATTCGAACTATTAGTTTGGGGTCTGGTTGTTGACGTTGTCGCTGTTGTCGTGGGCTATTATTATTGTTGTTTGTCGTTATATTGGTTTTTCTTGTTTTTTTTTTGTTTTTTTCAATAAAAAGATTTATCACTCACCCCATCGTTTCATGTATTGTTCTTTCGAAAAATAATTAATTTGAATTATATTCCGTGCTTTTTCTTCTTCTTGGGCCGACTTAAATCCAATTAAGACTTCACGTTTTTGTTTGTTTATTGTTATTTGGTGACTTGTACGTATATTATCATCGGCTAGTTGAGCACGTATTTTTCTAAAGTCGTATTTGTAATAGATGGGCCTTTTGATTTTTCTTTGGAAATCTGGTCGATGTTTCTGTTTCCATTTTAATTTCATATTCTTTATTCTTTGTTTTTCTGATTTTGTTGATGCTGTTGTTTGTATTTGTGATTGTTGTTGTTGTTGTTGTTGTTGTTGTTGTTGTATCTGTTGAACTTCATTCGTATTAAATTCATGCATTTCTTCTTCGGTTGGTTGTGTTGCTAATGTGTGTGTTTCATGATACGATGGATATAATGTTGGTTCGCGTTTGTCGAATTTCGGTTTGAGAATTTGAATTAATTCGTCTTCGCTGATGTCGGATAAATCATCGCAGAGATCAAGTAGGGTTCGTCGGGTTGTTTTTGTTGTTGTTATCGTCGTCGTTGTTGTTGTTGTTGTCGTAATTGTTTTTGTTGTGTCTGAATACATGGATAACAATAATTCTGCGACTGCAATACAATCATCTGTAGGGTATTGCTTCATTTTTATGCGTTGTTGTTGTTCAATATGTTTGTTGTACTGTGGTCGACTAAATAATTTATTCTTCCATGTATCTAATTGTAGATCAATGCCACATTGCCAAAAATTAATTGTTTGTGATTTGTCCAAGAATTTATTAAATGTTGTTTCTATCGCATCTTGTAATGACCAGGTTGCATTGTAATCGTAATGAGTTATGTGGTCACATTTATATTGTACATAATCATTTAATTTTCCATCGTTCATATCATCATCACTATCATCACCAGACATATCAACCATATTGGATGATACTGGTCCGGTTTTTTTATCACGCTTTTCCATTTCTGGATGCGTTACACAGTGTTCATTGTGCCATCCCTTAAATAAAGATTGTAAATTAATATGTTGAAAAGGGTTACCTAAATTGATGAAGTCGAGTGATGAAGTCGAGGTGGTGAAAATTATTAAATTCATTTTCCACCGTTCCCCAAGTGATGACTTCGTTGTTGTTGTTGAATATGGTGGACCAGAGTTCCTTAATTTTGCTGTATAGTATTGTTTGTGGATTAGGTAAATGTGCTGTTTCAATTAATATAATTGTTGATGCATCGGTCGAGTGTAAAAATTGGATTTGTATAAGTGCATCATTATTTATTTTCTTTCGTTCGGATTCGGTGTCCACTGTGTAACGGCTTGTTCGATTTGCTAATATGATGAGGTCATTTATCGTCTCGATTGTTGATTTGTGGTGGATGTGAATGATGGTGATATTTGATGATGACTTGAATGGTGGGTATTTGGCTTGAAGATCTTCGTTCTTGTTCATTTTCTTTGCTGTTT